GCAGTGAAGGACAGGAAGGCCTGGTGCAATATGGTTCATGGGGTCACGAAGAATCGGACACCACTTAATGACTGAACAACAACCACCAGCACATTGAATTGCACCTGGAAGTGCACTGGTACTTGTAAAAATACCTTAAACCACATGCAGGTTTTTCTGGGTTCATGCGACAGATGCAGAAGCCAAGCACGTAAGCCCAGGAAAACAAAAACAAAAACACTTAACAGCTAGTATATGTATGCCCACATAAACCTCAAAATAAGAAGATAAATGCCATGGACTTTGCTGCTGTCAGCCACAGTATGGAGGATTCTGTGTAATCAGAATCAGATCAGGTTAATTGTGTAAAACCTGCTCTTGTTCACATTCCTAATCATGAGTTGAGTTCCCAATAATTCCCATACAGTGGCAAAATTTCTGAGAGTGCAACATTATTTATTTCCTCTAGATTAAAAGAGATATTCTTGCAGGCTTGGATTGACTATGTTAGATTATGGGTAACAGCCAAAATATAAGAGGACCTCATAATAAACAGAACACAAGGAACTTTGTAAGGAAAAAGATCTCATTCAATTTCCACTACTCATGATTGGCCACTATCATTGTGGTAGAAACCAATGCAGTTAAATTCTAAGTGGATTTCTAAATTCTACAGGGTTTCCTTTAAGCATGCTTCATGCAAGTGGAATTCTAGGTTTTGAACTACTACAAAGAACTCTCTTAATTTTCAGGACCAAGTTATATTGATAATCAATTTGCCAGTACGCTGCAGCGTGAATCTACACCACAAAGTCCATCATTACATTTATCTGAAAGATAGCTTAGCATGGCCTTTAAATAAATACTGAAAGCCTAGTAATGTCTCCAATGAAAACATAAGTTCAGAAACTGCACTTAGCACGCTATAGTGGAAATGCACCCCACTGATCATTTAATGGAAATACTCACAGTAAATACAATCCCTGAAGTTAAAATGGTTTTAGACCAATTCTTTAAACCCCTTTAAAGGAGGCCATACCACCTCCGATTTGTATGGATGGTTTGTTTTTCAGGTTATTCCCTGCAGGTAACAATATGAGTATTTCTTCCCCCCAAGAACTGAGAAAAGGAAAGTAGATAGCTGTAATGGAACTGTAGAAGCAGTCATGCAGTAGATTGATTCAACTGGAGAAATTCAATGCAGCCCGACAGATTCCCTAGGATTTGGTATCCTGCTGCTTCAGGCGCAACTTCTTGTAATGAGAAACAGAAGACTTTTTGTCAGGAGCGTCAAAGCTTTTTACTTGAAGGTAAACCCCCCCCCTCAAATAACAAGACTTCAGGCTGAAAATGTCTCTCCTCAGGAAATGCTTTTGCACATGGAAAGACTAAGAATCCCAATTCAAGGTGCAAGAGAGGTCAAAAGCCTTTGCAAGCCAGTAACATTCAGTGAAGAACGTACAATTGTGACATGTATCTCTACTGTGGGGGAACAATAGGAAGAGAGACAACAACTTGGCTGTAATAAATAGTTTGGACAGTATGTCACAGAAGGAAAGAAAGTAAAATGATTTGGTTAACTTATAATTGTTTTCTGCTGCAACTCTTTTGTACCCATGTAGTATTTCTGGCCAATTTTTGAAGGTTACAGAAGCATAGCTGAATAAGTATAGTAAATTAAGGAAGTAAATTAAAACAGGAAGGTCATTTTCAGTGAGTAAGATTAGAGAAATTCATGGAGAAAAAGACTATCAATAGCTCAAGATGTCTAGAGACAACGCATCTCTAAGTTGAGATGTCTGAGGCAATTCCACCGGGAGCATTCCTCTGCTGCTTGGGATCCTCCACTGGAACCTAATTATTGGCAAATGTGGAAACAGAATGTTGGACTTCATAGGCTTCTGCCTAGCAGGGCAGTTACATTATTATCACCAATTTTGTAGAAAAGCAAGGATTGCTTAAAATAACAACAATGAAAATATGGGATATACATTTTATGGATATTTAAATAATAAAGTGCCTTTCAACAAAATGACTGTGAAGGCCAATATTTTGAAATTAGGCAATTACTAATATCTTGGTTAATTGTACACTGCAGTTTTGTTCACATCTTCAAGAACAAATTAGACAATGTTTCATTTTTAATAATTAAGTGCCTAAGGGGCAATTTTGTCCCCATTTTGCCATCGACCCACTGTTTGCCTTGAAGTAAATAAGTATCTTCAGTTCAGCATTTCACCTCTTAGATGAAAACTGGGCAATCTTCATCTGTCTAGGGGGGAGAGATTTTTATATCATTGCTCATCACTACAGTAATAATCACCTGAAATTAAATTTAAAGATAATACAAATAATTACCGCCCAGAGTCACTTTTTGTGAGATGGGCGGTATCTAAATTCGAAATATAAATAAATAAATTATAGTACATTTATACAATTTTGAAGTGATTGTCTAGAACTTGAATATTCAATAAACTATGGGTCTCTAATAAAATAAAATAAAATAAAATAAAATAAAATTTGAAAGCACCTGACTGAGATCAATGGATAATTGTACAGCAATTAAAATTCTGTCTGCTACTGTGAAATGCTCCTTTATTATACCCAAACCCCACTGAATGGTATGAAGTGCCTGTTTTTCTTTAAGTAAATAGATAAAAAGACATACAATACCACCAGTAGTATTCGAAGATATTATTACTGAGGCTGCCCATTATTATTATTTTTTAAAAAACTCTATTGCTGTGACCAAAAGCAAAGAAACAGAGAGGGAAAGAACGCCAAGTTGCAGATTCTCTTTGATCACCCTGCTCTTTTGCCCTTGCAGCTATACCATATACAACGGCTCTCTCTGTCAAAGGAAGAAGCTTTCTTTTATTCAAACTCTGAGAATGAAAACTAGCTAGTCACAGGTTAAAATCAGGGAGTACCAAAAGGAAGTAAAGGACTCACCGAAGGCACAATGCTAGTCTCTAAACAGGTACCTGGGAGGTGTTTGAAAAGTACATAGGGACCTAACACAAAAGATTCCAGAACTTTCCAAGGAAACGTACATCATAAAAATTATGACCGGTCTTCCCGATATACTTCAAGTATGGTGAAATTTAGTCCCAGGAAAAGCTGAAAAGGTGATTGTTCAATCATTTTTAATTGTGCTTTGCAATTTGTCCACAAAAGAAATTGTCCAGTTGGAAAGTTGGATGTGCCAATGAGAAAGAGATATCACTTTTTTATTGATCAGGCAATTTTAGATTAGAGAATGATGAGCAAGTGGAAACCACTTGCAAATAGCTTCATTATTTCCCCTCTTTATCAGAATGGTAATTCCTATCCTATGTGTATGTTAAGAGCCAGGGAAAATGGCAATTCCTTAAGACTGGTGTACATTTGCATATAAATCAACACATGTAGCTGAAGAGCTGAATGGATAGGAAAAAAGGCTACAGAGCAGTGTAAAACGATGTTGTGATGATCAAGGAACTTGGGGGGCGGTGGGGGGGAGAGGGAAGAAATTGGTTTTCTTATTCTGCATAACCTAATTGTCTATAAATATAAAACAGTTTCTTTTACCCTACACCTGTAAAATAATTTATTCTCTATTTTTTAGAACAAAAAGGGTGTCTGTACAAATTGCCTTGGTATATCTGCAAAGTTGTTTCTATGGTAAGAACAACCATCTCTCTTTCTTATATCAACCCAACACAGAAGAGATGTGTTGTGTCCCACCATCTTGGGTGGAAACGGGCCCTTGTAATAAATCACAATAACTCTAGCTCTCACCTGTAGGGTTCCAAAGTTCTGTTACCATAATGCAAAGCTTCCTCCAAAAGGCCAAGGTTTATGCAGGCATCCATAGCGAGGTCAAGTAATTTTAGCTGATAGATGTTGGTGTCTGGGAGACGAGAGGTGTTGCTTTTCAGTAGTGTCTGGCAGGACAACAAAACTTGCTCCCACTCTGACATTTATTTGTGTTAAGGATTAACCCATGTCAGAAGTATCAATCAAAAGGCAAAACATTAAGTTAAAACATTGCAGTTTTCTATTCTAGAAAACCCTCTTCCATAGAAGGCTCCATTTTTACCAGTAAAACATGGAAGCAAACTACATGAATATGAATGGTGATCATATGAAACTAAAACTAATTTGTGCTATAATTAATTTTCTTTTAAGCATTATTTTCTTAAAATAAGTGATATATTTCTAGTAACCTATTTCTGGTTTAATGTCTCAACAGAATTAAAACAGCTTGCAAATTATATTCTTCAGCATATAAAAATATAGGCTTGTTGGGCTGTAAATTAACAATCACCAATCCAGTTAGTTTAGAATATTAAATGGCTAGTGGTTAAAGAATTTTTTTTAATGAAATTGAAGATACCAGTTCACAAATAACTTATTTCTTCATTCAATTTATAGGCTGCCCATTGCCATGTGATCCTAGGCAGTTAACACCTAGCTAAAAACATCAACAATGTAACCAAAACAGCAATTAAAATATAGTGCATCAGAGGCAGTTCATGCCTCTATAAACTAATAAACCCTATAGTTAACTAACCACATAAAACACTTAAACAGGTTCACCTAACCACCTGGCCCAATGCCTGGGGAAAGACATAGGTCTGTAACGCCATTAGGAAAGGCAAGCAGGATTGGGGCCATTTGGATCTTGGGATACGCTGTGCCAAGGGCAGGCACAGCAACAGAGAAGGCAGGTCTCCTGGGTCCCATAAGATGACGCTCTTTAATGGAAGGGACCTAGAGCATGCCAACCTTGTCAAATCTTGTGGGATGGGCAGAAGTAACTGGAGACAGACTATCTTGCAAATAACCCAGTCCTGCACCATAAGGGGTTTTACAGGCGATAACCAGTTCCTTAAATTGCATCTGGAAGTCCAATGAGAGTGAATGCAGCTTGTGGAGTTGAGGTATTACATGGGTAAACTTAGACATACCCGTAACTACTCATGCTGCTGCATTATGGGCCAGCTACAACTTCTGAGTGGTCTTCAGGTACAGCCCCACGTAGAGCACATTGCAATAGTCTAAATGGGAGGTGACCAAAGCATGAGTGATGGTAAATAGGATTTCCTGGTCTAGGAACAGGCACAATGAATCTGCACCAAAATTGTGCACCAGTTCTGTGGAGTGCTACTCCATTCAGAGCCAAAGATGGTAAGTGCCCAGCTCCAGGAGGTTCCAGAACCTATAGCCACTTAGTCGTGCCAGGTCTCACCTGAGTCTATTCTTCCCCAACCAAACCCCTACAGCCTCTAAACACAGAGAAAGCAACTTAAATGGCATTATTTGATCAGCCAGGGGTGGAGATATATAATTTGTTATAATTTGCCTACTGATAACAAATTATACATCTCCACTCCAAGCCTATCAAGACATCCTCATGCAGCAGCCTCATGCAGATGTTAAATAGGAGCATGGAGATAGTAGAACCTTATACATTAGGAGTTTAGGCTGTGTCTCTCCCTTCCACCCACACTAACTGGAACCAACATGGAGGAAGCAAAACTACCACAACACCGTGCTTTCCACTCCCAACCTCCTAAATTGGTCCAGAATCAATCGTACCATGATCAGTCGTATCAAAAGCCACTGAGAGATAAAAGGGAGCCAGGATGGATGTACCCCCACCATCCCAGTCCCTCCAGAGATTCCAGAGTTATCAACAATTGCAATCAATGCCATATCAGTACTATAACAAGGCCTGAACTCTGAAAAGAGTCCTGATATTCTGCTTCCTCCAGGGCCCTCTGAAGTTGTAGCCTGACCACTTTCCTAACCTTCCGCAAAAGGGGAATTCAACTAAAGGCCATAATGCGTATGGGAAGGTGGAGACAGGACAAAAATTGTCCAATAACGTTAGGTCCAAGGATGGTTTCTTGAGGAAGGGGCAGGCTACCACAGCCTTAAGCACACTGACATGATGGCATTAATGGAAAGGTTTGATTCCCTGCCCCATACACATTATGGCCTTTAGTTGAATTCCTGTCCCAAAGAAGGAGGACAGTGGCATGGTAAGTTGAAGAAAGAGGTTGCAGTAAACAGTGTGATGAAAAAGAAGAATTTTTGAGAGAAACCAGTCTAAAGAAAAACAGAGCACAACACGTGATGGGACTGGAGAGAAGTGATGAAGAGCCAGAAAAATCTTAGTTATTAAAGACAGCAAAATACTGTAGATGTCTAATCTTGATTTACAAGTATTTTACATTAAAAATGGAATGAAATACGGTTTACTACTTCAATAGTAAAATCTCACTAAACAGTAAGTTAGTATTGGATTGCAACTTAGAAGGCCAAAAGATTAACACTCTTAAGTATGTATGTATACACATATGTGTGTATTTTCTTTTGGCTTATCTAACTACATTAAGACTTAAATATTTATAGTGTCTGTCATTTTGTTCTGCAAGGTCAAAGCAGAAAAAGGGAACTGCTCCTCCAGAAACTTAAAGATACAAATGCTGAGGAAAAAAATAAAGGACAAAAGAGTTTTTTATAACAGAGAACACATTTTGATTTGATTTGCCTTCTCTGTTTCTTTTTCTTTAAATATGGTTTTATTTGAAAAATACAGAATACATTTTATAGGGAGGAAGAGTATGAGTTTAATAAATACAAGGAAGCAAGTTGACCTTTATATCCTCCTGATCTGAATGGAAATGTATTTACTGTGGACCAAGGATACCTTCGCATGACTTTGGTGCTCCTATTGTATTTATAACTTCTTTGGCTTCTTTCCAAGCTTGCTCATCACCTGCCAACATGTCAGCATCCTGCTTTGACAGAAACAAAAACAAGAAACAAAGCATCTGATTAAAAAAGAGAGAGAAACTAATAGTCCTCTCATGAAGGTTAGGTAATACTGAGTACCAGAATGTTCCATTAAGGCTGAAGCTGAAAAAGTCAAGTTTTCAATGCTTCAACCCAAGAACATTCTAAGAATAATCCATATCCAATGTTAATAATAAAACCGGCATTGGATTTCATATATTTGCATTATATGCTTAAATAATGAGGAAGGGGTGGATTTTCTTGAGCCAAAAATATAATATCCACCCTTAGAAGAGCTTATAATCTACATTTTGAGAGGTAAAAAAGAAAACAGAGTTGAAGTAAAAGAAATAGAAAAGAATTTGATAAAATGGGATGAAGCTGAGAAAACTTATGTTAATGTCTTTCATCTTTCCAAAGAAAGACATTAACATAAGTTTTCTCAGCTTCATCCTATTTTATGGCTTCACAGAGACGTGGGGTTTTGAGAAGGGCTTTGGATGAATAGGAGTGCTCAAGGAAAATGAATAGTCATAGGACTGAAAAATTGGCAAAAAGAGCAGTTATACACTGAGATAGACCAGAGAAACACCAATGGGTAGGAGAAACTAGGAGAGACTTAAAGACAAAGATGATACTTCAGATATTGAAATAAACAGGTACACAATAAAGGCAAAATACCCCAACTAATGTATACTTGTTCTATATTGTAAATGCATAACACCTCTGAAATGCCATTAATATTAGCCACTATCAAGAGAGGCAAGCAGTAAAAAAAAAAATCTTACTAAAACCAAAGGAGAAAGTTCTGCGACAAAGCCCAGCTTTGTCTGCTTTAGCAGGGAATTTTAACTTGCTCTGCTTGTCAGCAGAAAATAATAATCAACAAATGCTCATCACGTGAGGTATACAGCAGATAAAATTCTAAAAAATATCTTCGCTGCCACTACCATCATTTAAACAAAGGAGCTTAGGGATGGCAAACCAATTTTCATATCAATTATCATCCCAAGAGTACAAAAGTTAAGAGGTTTTAATCTGCATTTTACACACAGTGAGGTTAATGATCATGCATCCCAAAAAGGAGGAAATATGTACCTGGAGCTCATATTAATTCCATGTGTAGTTTTACGGTGCTGCCTACCAAACGGATGGAAAGGAGGTGAATTCTTATACTATCTCATCAGATGATTGCGTTAAATGGCTTCTGCCATCTCTGGCGTCAATGATATTATATGTAAGGAATTACAAAGAAAGTAGTGTTCCTTCTGAAATTTGCAAATGTAATTGCCATAACATCAACTATCTGATCGCAATATGTTCACCTGGAAATAATTTTGTACAGAATGAAAGCTGCTGCAAGTAAAGGTCAGTAGCAGAACAATAAAGTTCACGTTGCAGTACTTATGTCAGTTATGCTAATCATACAGATCCAGATGTATTAAGTTTTGCATATAAAGGGAATGAGTCAAGTCTGGCCATGATCTAACTGTGCTGTCGTCAAAGGGCACAACATTAGTTACATAGGACTTGATTTAATATATCTTTATGTGATCCACAAAATGTAAGTAATTACAGTATTATAGTATCACCAAGTAAGGCTTCTCATGGAAACATAAGACAAGAAATGTATTTTTTTTGCTTCAGATTCTACCTCCAGAAATAGCCCCCTGTTAAAATACAACTTTGGTTTTAGTAACGAAGGCTGGGAGTAAATACCAGAGACATGAGACCAAATTCTGAGAAGACATGTAGGAATATACTGTAATTGAAAGACTACAAAACAACATCTGCATGGAGCAAGATCATTTTTTTTGATCAATCAACAAAGGGGACTCTGGCCTAAAGTGGACATATCATACAAAGTGATATGGCTCTATCATCAGATTATTTACAGTCTATCTGAGGACAATAGTGCTACCATAGTTGGGTTGTAAAAAGTAAGTGGGCGCTAAGTGGGAGCAAAGAGATACAGGGTTTTTTTTTTACAATTCTTTGTTGTCATCTAAATCTGGTAGCCCCTAAACAGTGGCAAGAATCTCAATTAACTATTTCTGACAATGCAATTAACTTTATGGGTTGTTCATAGAACTTGTGCAGGTGAAACAGCTGTACCTGCTGTCCCCCTCCCTAAATTCCCTGTATCCTGCCTGTCACTTCCCCAACTTGCTCATTTTCAGCCAAATAATTGGAGGGGAATTGTGAATACCAACTTTCTGTGTGACTGGGAAGCATGTGGAGAGGTTTGCTTCCTTCCACTGTCTCTCTCTGATGTTTTAAACACAATTATATTTTGAGGCAATATTCTTGTGAGACTGCCAGAAATTTACAAAATGAGTAAACTTCTCAGGAACTCTTTGTCCATTCATACAATCTGGAGTGGGGCGAGGGATGTTAAGGGGAAATATAGCTGCTCTTTCCTTAGACAGAAGTAAAAAACCTCTGCAAACCAGGTCCCATCAGGTGCAGAGAAAATGATTGTTTATGCCAAATATTATCTTTTCGTCTTTAATAGTGGAGTCAGAGAAATTATCTTCTTAGAACATATGAATGGTAGTGTAAACTACCTTTTCAATTATGAAACATATATTAATATGTGATGTTTGCATTCTTACCAAATGGGGGAAAAGTCCCTCTACTGCCATTCACACATACATATGTTCATCTTTATTTTAAAGCTTTAAGCGTTATTTCTATTTCTCTATGTACATGGTTGATTTAGGCAACATGACTTCTCTGCCACTAGACATAGAAAGGCCTTGTGTAATGGCCAGAAGGAATCAAGCACAGAAATGAATGCAGATCCCCCCCCCACCCCGCCCGGTCTATATCTTGCAAGGCCCTGGGCAAACCAGGGTGCTTTACCAATCACCACTGCTAATAAGGTTATTGATTTGCTTGTTTGTTAGATTTATATCCTGTCTTTCTTCCAAGACCTCAAGTTAGCTTCTACAAGGGTCACTTACATTTGATTTCCTCAACAGCAACCCTTGAGGTAGATTGGGCTGGGAGAAAGTGACTTGGTACGAACATCAACCAGTGAGTTTCCTATGGCTAAGGATGGACTTAAACCTGAGTGTCCTCAGTCCTAGCCCAAAACTAACCATTACACCACACTTTACCTCCTAATTCAAGTACCTGAGATAGCCTTTTCTTCCTGGTAGTCCCACTAGGTTTTCCAAAGTGGATCACGTTATTCAGAAAAAAATAAAAACTAAAATATACTGTAGCTTGTGAGATTGTCAAGAAAAAATAAAACATCATAATATGTCTGCATAACTGAGTTTCTCTGTACCATTAATCAGTTATAGCCTTTGTTGTTCTTATCACAACAGAGTAACATGGCTCCTCCTCTATAGTGAATTTGCTGAGGCAAGCATGGTGAAAGGCTGGAGGTCTCAAATCTCTTCTCCCAGAATCACCCTGAGGATTCATGCCCTAGTCCCACCTCCTGCTGTTGGCAAGTTCCTTGATAGTTTCTGCTGCTACCACCTATCCTCTAGGGGTGCCTCATCTAGCATTCTTCCCTAACCCTAATATGTGAGATAGGACTCTCAAAGTCCATGCTGCCTTTCTGGCGACTGAAAAGTCAAAATGCAAAAGTTGAAATAGTTTCTATAGTGCTACCTCCTCGCCATATAGTATACAGGTATGGTAACCAGGATTTACACTTTCTTTTCCCACCCTGGGAAATAAATGTATCCCACAGGAGATAAACAAAATCAAACTTTAGTAAAAAAAAAGAAAGAAAGAAAGAAAAACAAGAAAAACAAAAAGAAAAGAAAAACAAAAAGTAACATGTAAAAAATACTTTAACTTTAAACATGAAATTGCAGACATCTAATGTGGAAGAAGATAAATTACAGAACCACCCAGATCACAGCCATTTACAAATTAGTTGAAAAAAAATAAAGAAGTAAATATCATACTCCAGAAAAAGCATGAGATTTTGTTGGTTTGCTATGAATGTAGTGTTCTCTGCCAGACAATCCACATCCCCACAATCTGCGAATTTCTGAGAAGGTACTGCAAAAGTTTCAAATTATTATTACAGATTACAACAAAATTCTAATGAGAAATGTGTATATTCATGAACATATCCTGAGATATGCATAAAAGCCAATATCAATGCTCAGTTCCATAACTTATAGAGAGATAAAAACATGAGATTCAGTATAGCTTAGTAAACAGAAATAGAAAAGCTAGTGCAAATTTCTGGCTATACATTTTACCTTTTTCTACAAAATTAGAAGACGGCTGAAGCAAATGTCCCTCTGCTTCAAATATCTGATTTCTCCAGCTTCTTAGGAGATTTCAATATGTTAATCAAAAGCTGTTGGCAAGATGGAAAACCCAGCTCTTTATCACCCTCTCTCCATGAACTTCTAACAAATTCTACCCAATGAACTTTTTCTATATCCAGCAGAGGAGGGGCTGGAATACTCTGGGTTGGTATGTAACAAAGAATTTATCTTGTTTGTGAAACTGGTACACGGGCTATATTCACAACATTCTCAAAATTGTTTCCAATAGTGATCAAGCAGATGTTTCTAGGATACTGTTTGACTTCACAGGAACTGCTATCCAGGAAGGTTCCATTCAGTTCATACAACTAATAGCCACCAATAGCCAATTATCAATAAATGTATCTGATCCCCTTTAAAAGCTATCCAACTCACAAGCTCTTAACAAACAGTGTGATAGTGAGATCCATAACTTTCATTACACGTTTTTCCTCATCTTTTCCTTTCCGCACCACAGACATTTTTATACACGTTTTCATACTGAACAATCAATAGGAGGGCTTCACTGACTTATTCTCCTTATTCAACTCATCCAGGTTCTTGACTCGCTATGTTGATTTGCTTTCAGTATGGGTCCTTCATTGGTGGGGTTACCTCATATTTAAAAAGCTGAATTTTCATGCAAGATACTTTTATTTTTTTTTAATCATGGTTGAACCCTTCTCATTTCTAAGTCTGAAAAAGCATGTTATTCAGCT